TCTCAGAACAGTCTCTCATGCCCTTAATTTAATCGTCTATCATGTCCTGATCTGTTATGCTTATCCGTTTCCACTTAATTCTTGCCCTGTAACCATCATCTTGAACTTAATTGAACAAAATCTGGTCTTAGTACTCAATTATTCCATATTTGGGCAATTAGTTTTGGCCAAAGTACTTGCTCATTATTATGTCTGTCTACATGATTTGATTAGTAACAGAACATACTTGATTATTACAACTGTCCTCTTGTAATAGTTTTGTATACCTTATTATCTGAAACCTAGTTAAACTTGGTGTTCGATTCCTGTCTAATTTATTGAGTTTGTGTGGCAAAGTCAAGACAGGCTTAAGAGAATCAACACTTGGCTTAATGTCGATGTCTGCTGAAAACCATTCGGCTTGCATTGCATAAAATTCTTTCCTTTTTTTTTGGTCATCACTTGGGAGAAACCACATAAGGCATACCTATTGAAAAGGAAAAAGAGAAGCATCATTAGATGAAAATTGAGAAATTTTCTAATGGATAGACTGGTAGCTTACCTAGCAATGTTCTTGGAAATCATGATGTTGTTTTTTCTTGTTCCATTGCATTGTGATCATACTTTTTTTTACCTGTCATTGCCTCAGAAAAGTGATGGTCCGGGTAGATGCCAAACATGGGGCTCCAAAAGAAGGAAGTTCTACCATTGAACTGTTGCAGGTAATAATGGTTCTTTTTAAGAAAGATATTGAACCTTTTAAGTTTTTTCTTTTCTTGAGAAGATGTCACACAGTCAGGAACTTACAGTTATCTCATTGAATTATTCATTATATCTTCGCATTAGGACAGTTGTACGAGATCAACCTGTTTGCGTTCTTTTGTCATCTTTTGTGATAATTCCTCTTATAACCTGTTTAAAGTTTTCCTTTGTGTAGGTGGATATTTACCCCTTAAAGATACATCTTACTGAGTCAATGTACAGCATGATGTGGGCATATTTTTTTCCAGAAGAGGAACAAGACTCCCACAGGCGGCAGGTGTGTCTCAGGTCCCATTTATCAGTTGTATTACGCAATGAGTTTTTACCCATGAGATGCTACAATTATGTGAAAAGATAATGTTCAAAGCATCTTTTTGTTTGTAGGAAGTATGGAAAGTTTCAACTACTGCTGGTGCCAAGCGTGCAAAGAAAGGCTCTTCCGTGCAGGAAGCACCAGTGTCAAGTAGCCATTTAACTAAAGATTCTCAGTCTTCCTCCTATGGCGATTTATCCCAGGTGAGTCTCTGATTCCTTAAGTTGGTTGTTGTTTGCTTATTCATCTTGCTAACTAATGGAAGCAGACGATGGAATGAACTGTGCTTCGTGTGTCCTCTTTATTTAAGTTTATTTTACAGACATGGGCAAGTTCTTCAGTATACTTGCATAATCTCTAACCAAACAATTCTCGAGCATATCTTTTTCAACATTTGGTGTGCTGAATATATGCAGGCAACAAAGAATCCAAAAGCTAATGCTAGTGTTGTGACTCCTAAGCTTAGACGGACGTCCTCCTTTGATAAAAACTGGGAAGAAAATGTTGCTGAATCTGTTGCTAATGAACTTGTACTGCAAATGCACTCATCAAGTGTTTCTTCTTCAAAAAGTGGGTCCCTTGCAAATATTGAGCATCCAGATGAATCTAACAGAAACAAATCCAAGGAATCAAAATTAATTAAATCTGGTCGTTCTAATGAGGAGAAAAAGGTGGGGAAGGCACATGACGAGAAAAAGTCTAGGCCCCGAAGAATGAGAGAGTTCCATAATATCAAGATTAGTCAAGTTAGTCAAAAAAATTTATTATGTGTTTGTTTTGTAAATTTGTCAGTTCCTTAACTAACTCATTCTTATTTATGCATGGGTTAGGTTGAGTTACAAATTACATATGAAGGATCGAGATTTGCTGTGGGTGATATGAGACTGCTGATGGATACATTCCATCGTGTTGAATTTACTGGGACCTTGCAGAGATTATTCTCACGAGTTAGGAAGCATATCATCTGGGGAGTTCTTAAATCAGTAACAGGAATGCAGGTTATAATAACCAGGGATTTATTTTAACTTCTCATTGCCTAATTATTGGCGATATTAAATCAATGTTTTCAGCTTCTGATTCATGTAGCTGCATTACAACCACCCCTCTTCCGTGATAAGTATCTCAGACTGTTAGATTACCTCATGGTTTTTTTAAAAGCTTACGGTGCCTATGTCTGTTAATTTTAATACAGGGCAAGAAGTTTAAAGCAAACAACCAAAAGGAAGCCAAGGAAGCCGGTCCTTCTGGTGTTCCCGATATTGATCTGAATCTCAGTGATAGTGATGGTGGCTCAGCTGAAAAATCTGACCCGTTATCCTGGCCTAAGCGTCCCGCTGATGGTGCAGGTGATGGATTTGTCACCTCAGTGAAAGGCCTTTTTAATACGCAGCGTAAAAAGGCTAAGGCATTCGTGCTTCGGACAATGAGGGGTGAAGAAGATGACTTGCACGCTGACTGGAGTGAAGGTGAGGCTGATTTCTCTCCCTTTGCCAGACAACTAACCATAACAAAGGCCAAAAAGCTGATTAGACGACATACAAAGAAGTTCCGTCCTATAGGAGGAAAAGGTTGGTGGATCTCTGACATTCTAATGTTCTCTTTTTGCATATTGGGCCTTCTGTCTTTCATGAGTAGAAACATAATATCAAGGTAAAATTGCTAAAATGACGCCTAAACTATGACCGGATGTGCAGTAGCACACTCATACTTTATGGGGACCTAGTACACCCCCTGTATATTTTTTTAAAACATTTTTTTTGGCATTTATCCAACGTGACACAAGCCGAAACTCGATTATGGAAGAATATAGTGATTCACGAGATTAAATTCCAAAGGATTTAACTGATTTCTTCGTGGAAATGAACAACAAAGCTTTGGTTTGTTATTCAGCTCACCTGATAAATGTCAAAGAAATGCTTTAAAAAAATATCCAGCGGGGGCATAGGAACCCCGGAAAGTATAAGTGTGTTACTACAAATCCGTCTGTAGTATAGGCGTTCTTTTAGCCATTTTCTCTAATATCAAATATTCTTACCTCCATGCTACACTGAGTATCAGTGACTGTTATGCTGATCCACTATTTTTTCCAGGTTTATCTTCTCATAAAGGTTCACTTCCCTCATCGCCAAGCGCAAACGCCACATTTGAAAGTGATTCTTCAAGCGAAACATCACCTTACGAGCAGGAGTAGCAGAACTTGATAACAGCAAAACAAATATGATTTTAGGATCTAAAGTGGGACTGCCAATTGCCGCCTCGACGACTCCTACTTGTGAGAATGCCTACTTGTTCTAAAAAACAGAACAAGGTAAGAGCTGTGCACACTGATGGAAACAAGTCCACTGACTATTAACATGTCATTGCCTTTTAGAGCTCTGAAGATATCTTGGAAATAGATGTGAGGTGATTCCTTTGAGTATGGGTTTTTCTTCTTCTTTCTATTATGTATTTATTCTGTCACCTTGTAGAATGGACTTTTGGACTTGTATTATTTCAAAATTTTGTAATCATATCCTTTGTTTTAGCAAAAAGCTAAAAGGTTTATTCCTGCAAGTACCCATACATTGCCCCTGTGATTTGCGGAATGATCTACAACGACCTGATGAACGTTGGAAGTTAGGTTCTACAAAACGCCATTCCTTGAAGTCTGAATTCCCTCTTTTTATGTGTAGTTTAATTTTTCATAGATTCTCATTCAACTGATCAATTTTAGTTTAGAAGCTTGAAATTAGTGTTTGTTTTGATCATCATGTGAGTTTTGGAAATGGTGAGATAAAGAAGTGTCAACTCATGTTATAACTGTTTTATTGAAGTTTGCCTTGTACCTGAGACTTTGCTAGCAATGGACTATGATGCAGAATTTATGGAATTTGTTACTGTTTAGAGAACAACATAAAGCATCCTGGAATTATTTTCTCGGATTGATTTCTTAGATGATCACTCAGCTTGACTTTACCTAAAATCATGGAAGTTGCTTAACTTTTCTTTTTGTAACCATTGAAATTACTAGTTATTGAGAGGAATCAAAGGAAACCTTTTCTAGGATATTGAGAAAGTTAATTGAGACTTTGGTTCTAAAAAAATATTAGCTTAATACATAATCAACCCTCAAATTTGTTAGGATATTTATAGGGGAGTTTGGATTGACTTTTTTTTAAGTGACTTATAAGTTAAAAGTTAAAAGTCATAAGTTGGGAACACCCAATTTTTGGGTTTTGGCTTTTTTTGGTACTTTTTCAGCCTTAGAAAAAAGGTCGTAAAGCACTTTTTGAGTTATCCAAAGAGTTCCAAAATTAAAAAATGACTTAAAAGCCAAAAATCACTAAAAATAAGAAAATTCAAACATCCACTTAGATATGCCAAGCTTTCGTACATTGCGGAAAATTCCCCATTGTTTTCTCTAATAGGTGTTTGGGCCATGTCTCCCTCTCAGTGTGACTAATCATCCACTTTAACCAAATCATCGCCTTGATAAGCTATTGCCTAACCAACTAGCTAATTAGACGCGAGCCTTTCCTCTCCTCGAGATTATTCCTGCTTTTGCGTAACTAAATCTTGTTTCAATATTTGAATACCTCGATTCTAAAAATGTTCCAATTAGACCCTTTGATTCTAATTTTGAAGGGGAAAAAAATTTCATGTGTTCTCATTCGTCTATTAGGTAGTTAAGTTAACCACATAAAATATGTTATTTTCTTTAATTATACGTATTCGCCTCAATAAATCGTAAAATTTCAAACATTTTCTACTCGAGTTGATGTAAATATCTAAATCACAACCTCTATTTTACTCTTAGCAAAACATTATACTAATTAACTTATGCTGTATATAAACAGTTTGGAGAGACCTTGTATCAAGCATCCAGAATTATAATATTAATATTTGTGTAACGCATGTGCTGAAGAACTAATTTCCTTTATAGTTATTAGGAAGAATTACAAAACAAGACAAAATAAAATTTACTAATACCAATTTAACAGAAAAATACAAGCCATCATCAACTAAAATAAGGAAAATACTCTTATTCAAACAGAAATCATACATTTTCTTTTTCAAATTTATTCACCAAATTGGCTAAGAAAATGAAAATAAAATTCAGTAAATTAATTAATTAATTATTTTTGTGTTGGAATGCCTTAGGCAAAAAGATTTCAGTCTACTTAATCCTTCTTCAAGAAAAGATGGCTCAACTGCAAATGTTATTCGAAGCCAATTCTTCAATCCCACAGCAGTACCTGAAAAAAAATCGTATTTTTACCAGACATAAAATTATGTTACGTTATTTTCAAGAAAGAATAATATATTTCTATATATAAAAACTTATTATTTTTTAATTTTATCTTTAATAACATTCTTTATTATAATAACGACCACAAGTTCTAAGGATACTTTTGGTATATACATCAAACATGTTCTTTTTCTTAATTATGTATTCAATTGAACACACTTATATAAACTCAAAGAGGAAAAGATAATAAATGGTCATTTATGTTTGGGGTTAAAGTTCAAAATGTCTCATTTAATATAATTTTGGAGAAATTTTGACTATTTAAATTTGTCAAAAGTGAATATATTAGACTATATATGAAAACTCGTTAACTTTAACACTTCTAATTTTATCCTTAATAGCGTATTCTTATAGCCGTAGAAATATCATAGTGTACTTAAGACAACAAATTCTAACGATATTTTTTATATACATCAATCAAAATCTTCTGTTTTTTCTGTAAGCTTCATGTTCAATCAAACGCGTTCTATACCTGGAAGTAAAAGGACAGATTCCTCCTTGGCAAGCTTAAAACAGAAGTCAATATCATCACTTATATCTTTGAGGAGGGTTAAATTGAGCTTCACCTTCATACATAAAATCAAAAAATTAAAAAGTAGAAGGACCAAAAAGAAGAAAAAAAGCAAAAAGAAGGGACAAAAGTGTATGAAACAAAAAGTTTTGGGGGAGTAAGAGAGTTTACCATAAGAACCATTGAGCCTTGTGATCTATAAGGGCAATTTATACATGAAATCTCTTGTATTTTTTCATAACATATATCTGAATTCTTCTTAAGCATTTTGAGTGTATTTCTGAAGAAATCCTCTTTTGTGCTTTCAATAATTTTGGGGACTGCTGCCTAAAACAAACAAAAAAAAAAGAATTTAAGTTATATATACTCAGAGTTCTAATATATGGGATCAATTACATATACGTATCATATAAAATAGCTTTCATTTTGTTATATTAATATTTTATATTGTTAATGCATAAAACTTAAATTCGATAAGAATATAAGTTATATAGATATAGTCAATATATTTTATGCATGTCATAATCATTGTTGTGGAGTTTTAAAATTCAGTAAGTAAACCTTCGGGATATATTATAAAGTTTAACTTCTGAATTTTGAAACTGCAAGACAGTGATTATTCTTCAATTAATAGAGCTCGAAATAGTGTTATGTTTACAAAATGCTAAATATTTATATTGTTGATGTATATGAATTAAATTCTTTAACCTATTTAATTATGTAAATATTTTCTATACTGCCATAACTTTATTAGTTTAAAGATAAATAAATAAATTTATAAATTATATATAGGGTACGAAGTACGAACCTGTATGAAAGTTGCAGGACCTCCACCTATGTCACAATACTTCTTAATACGTTCAACAATCTGAGAGATTAATTAAAAACTTGTCATTAATTAGTATTGCATATTAAATAATTAACTAATTAATACAATAAAACTTTTGGTCTGTGTTTTGTTTTATTGTTGCAAAGTTGAAGAGATTATATATATTGTTAGTATCCCTTCTGTTAAAATTTATATGCGATTCATTCCGAGAGTCAGATTTTTAAATTTTGATCTTGAATTTGAAGATGAAATTTTAATTTTTTTGAAATAAAATTTAAATATTCATAACGAAAAATGTAAAGACATACGAAAAAATTGTGGTTAAGAAAAACTTTTTTGACTTTCGAAAAGTTGAAGAGATTGTTAGAATTCCCTAGGTTTAAATTTATATGACACATTTCGCATTTTGAAAGTCAATTAATTTTAATTTTTTTAAAAAATAAAATTTACAAATTTAGTAACTACGTAAAAAATACTATCATAAGTCATAAAAGTTGGTAATACTTTAAAGACATGAAAATATCATAATCAAAGGAAAACTCATTTAAAGTAATCATATAAATTGAAACGGAGACGGAGTAATTACCTTAGGAGATTTGAAGATGCAATTAGGATCATTAATGACAAACCAACCAAGTCTCCAACCAGGAATTAACCATCTCTTAGACAATGAACCAAGAGTTAATATTGGTGTTATTGAACTAAATAATCCCATTGATATAAAAGGGTTTTCTCCAAATGCAAGATGTCCATACACTTCATCTGCTATGATTAGTGTCTTCACTTTCTTTGCTGTTTCTGCTATCTAATCATCATTAAAAAATAATAATTAGTGATCCCATAATTACTCTGAATATAAAATATAATAAATAATTAAGTTAGTTAAAAGATAATTACATGTAATCGTCGTGAATGCTCATGTTGAAATATATTGATTTAAGGTAAAAATTGTTAACATGTGTATATATAAAAGGAAAAAAAAGGATAAATATGCCCCTGAACTATCGCAAATGGTACATAGATACCATCTGTGATACTTTTGGGACACTGATGCCCCTGCCGTCCAAAAACTAGAGCATATATACCCTTTATACTAACGGCCATACACGTGTCATAATCTTATCCACCGACCGGACATTTATTAAATATCGGATCGACGGATAAGATTGTGCCACTTGTCCCTATTTAGTCTTCTGTTAGAGTGAAGGGCATATATGCTCTAGTTTTTGGATGACAGGGGCACCAATGTCCCAAAAGTATGTCGGAGGGTATCTACATACCATTTACGATAGTGATAGTTCAAGGGTATATTTGTCCTTTTTCCCTATATAAAAATGAATAAAGAATATAAAATTGAAGGATTAAAGCACGTGTGAACACTTTTTTAAAAATTATATTCATTTTAAACATTGTGTTCATTCAGATTTAATTGTGTCGTAGCTCTATAATTCAGAATCAGAAGGGAAAAGTAACGAGAGAGAAAATAAAGTGTACATCGTACCTTCTCCAAATGGTCATAAGAGTAGACATTTCCACAAGGATTTCCAGGATTTATAACAACAATTCCAATAGTATTTTGGTCAGCCAAATTTTCAATTGCCTTCAAATCAACTTGCCAATTATTTTGAGGTAAAAGATCATAGTACCTAACTTCAACATTTCTAAAAGCAGCACAAAGTAGATAAGTTGGAAATCCAGGCCTTGGTAACAAAATATTTGAATTTGGTTTTGCAAGAATAGACACTGCTATCTCTATAGCTTGTGTACAACCAGATGTAACATATACATCTTCTGGTGACAAATCATATGGAAGATCTCTTGACAAGTAGTTTGCAATTGCCCTGTCCATTTAACCATTAATAATGTCAGCGTATACAACTTAAATCAGTAATTTTCATGCAATATGCTTAGCTTGCAATAACTTAATTAGGAGATACAATTCAATTGTTTAATACTCCTTTTTGTCTCAATTTTATATGACACATTTTGCTTTCCAAGAGTTAAACAGTCTAATTTTGATTATAAATTCAGGCATGGAATTTTTAAATTTTTTTGAAACAAAATTTATATATTTAGAAACCACGTAAAAAATAGTATAAGTCACAGTGATTGTTAATTTAAAATATTTAAAAGATATATGAAAAAATTACGATAAAAAATAGACTTATTTGAATCTCGAAATCATAAAGATGCCATATAAATTGGAACGACAGGAGTATTAGGGATAATTACAATTCAATGTCTTAAATGATCTAGTTTACAAAATAACCAGCAAATGTATAGGTTGTGATCAATTTTAAGTATACACATACATAATTAGTGTATAGATTTTGTATATTTCGGTCAATGGCGATAATTAAATAAGTTTGGTCAATCTATACGTATCGATACCTATACCTAAATTAGTTTCGATCGATTATATCCATGTATAGGAAAATCATATATAGTATATAATGAGAGCTTAATTTTTATAGATATGCTCGTATAATAATCAGGTTACTCAAAAGATAATTATAAGTAACAATTTACAATAAGTAATGTTAGTTATTAATAATTTTAAAAATAAGACAGATAACTTGATATAACGTGTTAAATTATAGAGACAATAGATATAACATTACTTTCTAGCAATGGGAAGACCACTAGAGGGAGAGTATCCATTGAACTTGTCAAGAAGAAGGCTCTCAACAACAGCTTCCTTAGCAGCATCAGTTGTGTGAAAGCAAGAATGAGCTGTTGGATCTCCTATTCCTAGTGAGATCACTTCCCTCTTATCTTCACCTGTCGGAAAATATCAGTGTCTGAGTTAGGATTTTCACTAAATGACATGTACAAAATATAAGGAAGTAAACGTATATTGCTAATCTAAAGATAATTCAACAAATACTATATATGCAATTAGGGAAAATTTAGCCTATCGATAGACATGCAATTTTCTGATAAAGGTGGATCAATTGACTCTTCTTGGACAAGAGTAGCTTCAGTACCCCCTATTTAAAATACTTCGTGAAAATTAATATTTGCTATATCTAGGCTCTATTATATGACCTTTTAAAAAAATTCTACACTAAGCAAATAGTGAAAAAAATCTATTTAGAAAAGAAGGAAAGTAATTTTTTTTATTTTCAACCGGAGAATGTGAAGATGTGAGTTTTTTTTTGTTGAGGAAACAGAAGAATGAATGTATTTGATAAGAGTTTAAATTATATATATCGATTATTTACACCATTAGCTCATGGTATATTTATTCTAGAAGGTATTTGCTAGTGTAAAAAAATAGTGAAAGACTATACAATTTAAACTGATATTGATAATCTGAAAATAGTTTTATTTTATTTCTATTGCTTTCAAAGACACTATTAGAAACATAGGGTTTTTCCATTGCAAATCAATGAAAAATTTGTGCTACACAATATCATTTTTCTAAAAAACTCATGATGAAAAAACTATTCTCACTTTTTTCCATATAAAAAATAACATAGTGTTTTTTTCTTTCATCGATTCAATCAAAATATTTATGGATAGCTACTGAACACTTTTAGTAAAAAACTTCAATGAGAAAACTGTGATTTTTTTAAGTAGTGAGACAACTCCTCACACACACAAATTTGTGTAATTACTACTATATATTATTTATTTATACTTAAAATAATTTTGCAACTTTACCTCCATCAATATTGTCCATCAACAAGCCAAGAATCCCTTTGATAGTAATATTTGTAAATGTTTCTACTTGTTTTGTTTGAAAAGAAATATTTGTTTGGCTTCCCATATTCTCCATCTTTTCACTTTTCACTAATCCAAAATGCGAAAAAAAGGAATTAATTAAGATGACAAGGAAAATGAAAAACCAAAGAACACAAAAGAGAGAGTGAGTGAATTTGGCCTTTAGAATCCCTAGATATTTATACTTTTTTTCAAAAAGATTCTTCTTAATTATCTACTAAAGTATAATAAATATTAGTACATTATTTGTAATTTTAAAGTTGAGTCAACTAATTTAACGGAGCATAAATAGACTTGACTTAGAATTTAAAACCATATGTTAAAATGTGGACTGGATCATTTGTTCCATTACAATAGGGAGTATGGATCAATGCACTGTTTAATAGTTATCTCAATTTACGTGTCTTTTAAATCACGTTATAATTTGGAATTATCAGTTTATAATATTAAAGATATAATAAGATAAAAGGAAAAAAAAAAGGTAATGATTAACTCGATCAATTTACCTAGTATTCCTGATTTGCTCTGAATTTATGTGAAGTATTGACACAATATACCGACGACAAATATCCAAAAAGATTTCGAAAAAAACGTAGTTATAAAAAATATTTATTTTTTTGAATAATAATGCATTCATATAAAACGAATGGATGAAGTATTACGAGGAATGTATGAAAGCAATGGTAAATTGGTGATATTAAATGCATGAAACATACAAAAGTCTTTAGTTCGAATTTTGAATATGGAGTCATAACTCGTACAGTAAAAAATATTTTATCCTAAAAATGAGATTTTTTAGAATAAATTAAATTAATTAGACTTTAAAGCGAGTATTAAATGAGAAAAAAATGTAAACTCACAAAAGATGAGCAATTTTTTTCTAGTAGGGACATAAAGTTTGTAAATATTGTAATACAAAGTCCTAAATTAATCTTTTCGAAGCATTAAGTAATGAGGCGATTATTTTTTTCTTAAGCTAAGCAAACAATCAAACATGCATTTAATTATCTTATACAGAATTTTACTCTAAAGTTAAATACATCAAAAACTAATTAAACAACTCCTTGTTGGTCGTTTGGTTGAGAATAAGTTATTCCACGATTAATTATCTTGAGATAAGTTATTCTGGAATAGGTTAGTCCATCATGTATATGAGATAACGTGTATCAGTACGTACTAAGACATAAATGGTGGGACAAATAATCCCAAGATTACTTAATACCTCCGACCAAACAGAAGATAAAATAATCCTACATTATCTGTAAATTATTATACTTTGTACCTTATACCTCACACCAAACGACTATTCCTAGTGTCTAAAAAGGTGAAAGAGTTTAAGTTAATTATATATATTATTAAAAAAATATTATCAAGTATATTTACATATTGTAGCAGATAATAATTTTCTTATTTTTCAAAATTATAAATTTAGTTTTGCTTATAAATATTCTTTAGATGACAGTATAAAAAATATATTTATACTTATGATGTATATAATTTAAATTCAATATTTGTGCATCTTTAAATAGTTCTAAAAAACATAGCTACTAAGTCTTTAATGCTTGAAAATCGCTTTGAGGCTCCGAATAATCAAAATTCATGTTGAAAAAATTTACTTTGAAAATAAAACGTTGCCTATCAACTGTCTAATAATTAATTTAAGCTAATTAGTTTAAAATAAAACAGTGTAATTAGTTATAAGTATCATGTAATTGCCAACTGTAGATAAAATTGAGTCAAAGTCGTCACGACCCTAAAAATATGGCAAATTGACTAGAGAAATTTCAAAGTCAAATAATCAAATTGACTTGAAATTAATAATAATAATAATATTTTAAAACTTAATTCACCCATTAACGAGGTCTTAAGTTTTTGTCTTTCCATGCAGAAACTCAAATATTTTTCTCCTATTTGGATTTTTTTTTTTTTATATATTACTTGATCCATGTTGATCTGTCACATTTCCTAAGAAAACGTTAATTGAAAGTATTTTTTTTATTATGCTTTGAAATTTTCAATTTGCATCGGCTATACTAGAATTTAAGTAGTTATTTAGTAATAAAAATAGTATATACTGAAATAAAGAAAATAATATTTATTTTTTTATCTACTAAAATGAACAAGTAAAAATAATAATACAAGGATCAAAAATTTATAAAACGTCAAAACTACATAAAAAGAATTATCATAATCACAATACTATTTAACAAATAATCGAAAAGGTCGTAACTCAAATGATCGGAATCACATATTTTTTTCTAATTTCTAATTTCTAAATTCTAAATTCTAATTCATAATTCTAATTCTAATTCTAATTCTAATTCTATATTCCAATTTTAATTAGAGTAACTTTCACATATAGCAAACATCAAAATCATATTTGTTTGTTATAGCTATAGTTTGCATAATTGCGCTCCATAGCAAATTTATGTTTGTTATGGAGCTTTTGATTTGTATAATTCGCTACAAACATCCAGTTTTATACAAATTGTTCAATTTTGTATAAATTCATTTATACATTGTAACTTGTATGATAAGATCTATATTTGTATAATTATAAGTGTATAAGACGAAAATATATGTATTTGTATTTGTATATGCATTTTTCTCTCGCTTTATACAAACATAAACGCATGTTATACATTTTATACCGAAATGTATAAAATGACTAATTGTATATCGAATCAAATAGCAAAAAAAGAGGATGTTTGCTGCAAATTACAATTAAAATAAACTATAACTATAACATTTAATTTGAATTAATATTTTGCTATTTCATATAATTTTCCCTTTTAATTATAAGTTTAATACTCTAATTCTATCTTCTTCTATTTTCCATTTCACCTTTTACTTGTTTTCTCTGTTTATATTGAACAATGGTGCTCTCTATCTATAGGAGAAAAAGAAGAAAACTACAACTTCAATAAGTACTAAAAGAAAATACTAAACAATTTTAATTTCTCAAAAACTTGGCCAAACAAAGCTTAAATCCAAACAAAGGAAAAAAATATAAATGAGAGAGTGCATTCAAATAAAATGATAGATAATTCAAAAATCAAATTGATCGATAAATCGAATAAAAGAAAGTGCTATTGATTTATTATTATTGAGTTATTGAGTAAACCGATAACTCATTAAGATTAATGTAGCAATTTTCTACTTAATCCGTATGTAAATATTAAATATTAATCTCAAAACCTTACTAGTTACTATTATCGCCCTTTAGATTCACGTTTCACAGTGAATTTAAGTTCACAACTTATACAAAACGTCAAAATCTAAAGTAAGAATCACAATCCTTTTAATTTCTCTTTGTGTTACACTTAAATACTTTTTTTCATGTTAGTTATTATTGTTTCTATTTTATGAACATTTATAAAGTTATAATTATTGTCTTATTGCGTCAAATTGTTGGAGAAGTCATATAATGTTTTATAACATTTTCTTATTGGTTAAACTAAACACCAAATCGCTAAGCACCAAAATCGATTAAATATAAAATATTTTATTGATTTAGCGTATTTGAAAAAATCAAAAACCAATAAACCAGATCGACTTATACACCCCTAGATACCTCAAGTAGAGAAACAAAATTCAGGAAATCAAAAATAGACTAAGGACCTATTTGGATGGGCTTATAAAAAGTAACTTATAAGTCAAAAGTTAAAAGTCATAAGTAGATGGTACCCTACTTTTGATTTTTTACTTATTTTAAAACTTTTTTGACCTAAAAGTGGGTGATTAAAAGTACTTTATAACCTTCCCAAACACCTCCAAAACTAAAAAAACTACTTCAAAGTCAAAAGCACCTAAAAATAAGTAAATCTAAACGGGCACTAATAATAATAGGAAAAAAAGTAAGAAAAAACTACCTAACTAGACATATATTACTACCATATATATTTAATTTACCTCTAGTTTAAAAAATTTACACACAATACCACTTTTAATATTTATATCATATATTTTAAAATATTTAATTAGATACACAAAGCCTTAAATATGATATTGAATAATTAATTTAAAATTTAAACTCCTTGATTAATGTTAAATTATCAATTCAAATTTTTTTTCTCACCTCAATCTATCGTTCCCCTCCTCCAATCCCATTAGCTTCTATATCTCCCACCCCTACCCCAACCATCTTCAAACACTTCCATCATCTTCCTTTCTTTCTTAATCCTCTCAATACATGCTTACATGTTCCAAATTTAAAATTAAATCTTGATAATTACAAGTATACAAAGAGGTAAATTACTTTTTTTTTTCCATTATTCTAATGTATCTTAATTTTACATCTCATTCATGTATCTAAGATAGAGTTCATATTTCTCTAAAGTTTGATTGTATAAACTTTTACAAATTAGACTCCGAGATACATGTATCATTAATGGCGAGATGCATGTATCCAACAAATTTTAAAGTCGAGATACCCTTCAACTAGATCGGTGTACGTTACATTATCTCTCAAAAGTATTCCATCGATTCTATAATTTTTGTATTCAGTTTTTGAAATTCATGAACCCAAATGCTTCAACAATACTGTGATATTGGTCATTTGAACAAAAAAAAACTCGAAACTTTCCGATACAAAGGAAGGAACCGATGAAAAAGATGAAGAGCACAATAACATAATTACTTAGGTTTATGATTTCATTATTTTAGGAAAATTTGTTATAGTTGATACTCAAGAATCTTGTAAATTTGTTGGGTTGTTAATTAGTCAACAATTAATCCTTTAATTAAAGAAATAAGTTACACCCTCTTTAATTCAAATTAATAAATTATGTATCTCCGCTTTAAAAACAATTGGATACATTTATCTCGCTATTACAAACTATCAGGATCTAAAGTAGTGGAATTTACGTAAGATGCCAAAATTAAAAAAAAATTAACCCAACAAAAAGGTGCCTGATTTTAAATTCCAAAAGTACCCCTAGTATATTCGGGCAACTCATCATAAACATGAGGGTATTATCGTCATTAATCTTTTAGGGATAAAATTGGTAATAATCGAAAGATTTGTAAACACATTGCCTTGGGGATTTCAAGAATTGGGACTCTGTTTCCTTCTCCCTTCCAATTTAACCTACAAAACCATAGCGCTTATAATTGAACTCCAAAACCCAAAATCCACCATAAAAATTGCATCTTTTCTACATTTACAACAACCCCATATAATTTTTTTGTGAAAAAAATTGATTCTTGTTAAGAACAAAGAGATTGATAATGGATGAATCAGAGAAGAGAAAGGAAAGGCTTAAAGCTATGAGAATGGAAGCTTCACAAAGTGGAGATTACAATGAAGCTGTTGGTTCTGGAGGTCTTACAAACCCTTTAACTGATGTGCCTTCTGGTAATGTTGAATCTTATGCTATGCCAACGCCAAGATTTGACTATTATACTGACCCCATGGCAGCTTTTTCTGCAAATAAAAGGAGTAACAATCAACCCCATGTCAGCCCTCAGGTTTCTCAACAGTGTTATACCCCTCCAAGTAATTACATATTCTTTCATAAAGTTCTCTTTTTTACTTTAAAGTTATAAACTTGTGCAGATTAGGTTGTTCTGGGTAGTTTCTGTTGTTTGGTGAAGTATCCTTTGTGGGACTATACTAGTTGAAGGGGAGTCTTGGATCAACTGTTAAGTTTTGAGCCGGTGAAGCAGCCACTAATGCTTGCATTAGGATAGACCGTCTACGTCATACCTCTTACGTGCAGCCCTTCCCCCCGACCCTGCTAATGTGGGATGCCTTGTGCACTGAGTTGCCCTTTTCTTTTATATACTAGTTAGTCTTAGAAGACAAGATATATAGCTAATAGCCTACATTAGCTGATTTGGTTTGAAGCATAGTAGATTGATAATAGTTTGGGATCGTAATAATGTCATAATGGTAATGTCAAACTAGTTTTGGTCCACGGGTGTTGAAGTGAAAGTTGATGGAAGTAAAAATACTAACATATAAAAATACTAAAAATACTAAGATATATATAATATCATACTTTACTTGAGCGGATGGTCTATTGGAAACAGACTCTCTACCTTCACAAGGCAAGAGTAAGGTTTGTGTACACCCCACCCTCCCCAGACCCCACTTGTGGGATTACACTGTGTATGTTGTTGTTGTAGTACTTATGATAATCAAAATACTATTACACTTTCTAGTTAGTATCCAATATACAATGCGGTGAATTGGACTCCTCATAGTAATCATCATTAACAACAACATGGTAGTGGTCTAGGAGCGTAATTGCTAGGGTAGGGGAGAATTAAGAGTGATTTCAGCAAGAGCAACCAAACGGACTACTATAGTGAGTCTAGTGACTTCTATAATTTTGTCTAGAGCATAAAAATATCTTCAATCACAAATCACTTTTGATTTTTAATTAATCAACCATAAAAGGAATTAAGTTTGCAGCATTTAATTTCATGCTTGATACTTTGATTACTTTAGTGATTGTACTAAGAGAAGAAAAGAGAAGCTTAACTGCAAAAGAAAAAACTAGAATAAGAGGACTTGCAAAGCTAGAACTTCAAAAGAAGGAAGAGAAGACCTGCACCCAAGAGTGTGGCCTAATGGTTGGTGAAGTTATTTGAGAACCATGAGGTTGTAGGTTCAAATCTTAGAGGAGGGAAAAACACTAGTGGTTTCTTTCCATTTGTCCAAGCCTTAGTGGATAGAGTTACTTGGTACCTATGGTGGTGGGAAGTAGCAGGTACACTATGGAATAAGTTGAGGCGTGCATAAGTTTTCCCTGGCACCGGGGAAGAAGGAAGAGAAAACTCACTAGCTCTTATGTTGGTTATGTGAAGGGAGAGAAATTAGATAGCTTTTGGAAGGGTCAAGAGTTATTCTATACATGTGAGGTACTTCTCATGTCTCTAATTTCTTTTTGGTGCATATATGAGTTTCTTGTTTGTATAGATGAGTGGGTGACCTTTGCACCATATTTTTGTCTAGGTTTCTCTACCTTTTGGTATACTTATATACGGGGACTCCCCCAACATTAAATAAAAAATAAGGGGACTTGCATTCTCAAAGAGAAAAGGACAGTAAATCTGTTTGAAAATGGAAAAAAAGAAGTAAATCAAAAACAGTAAAACTTTAAATAGTTTTAGAATATACATTACAAAATTGAGTAAAAGAAGAAGATATAGGACAACCAAAAGAACGATGAGCACAAGTGAAGAGGAGTTAAAATAGCAAAAAGCCATTTTTCCCCTCTTCTAATTTTTAATCTTTTAAAATGAGGGTCAAATAATAGAATGCTTCTCATTGGAATCACTCTGCATTCATTATTTGAAGCACTTCATTTATCTGAAGCGCATGACTTCATCCATGAAACTATAATCCCTCGTTCACACTGATTCTTCACTCTAAACCTGGGCTTGTCTAAGCTTATCCAGAGCTATTTCATTTGAGGTGTTTGAGTCTGCTAGAATAGGTGTTTTAGTTGACTTTTTAGTTTCTTTTGTCTGTTGGGGCTGAAAGGAGACGATGTTTTAAAGAGGGACAAGTACCAGTTTGGGAGAAGTGCTTTACAATATTCCAAAGCATAACAAGAATATTTTTTTTTTTGATAACCAGCATAACAAGAATTTTTTTTTTTTGATAATCAGCTTAACAAGAATATTTTACCCAAGACAAATTAGCTCAGGTTGCATACAACCTCTGTTCCATATTGAGATAAAGTTAAGCTGTTTCTACATTTTTGTTTAAGACAAATTCCAATGTTGAGCTTAAAACTAATTGCTGTTTTGGCGCTTTTGGCCAAATTTCTGGCAGTTGTTGATTTTGTTTGTGTGGGATAGCTACTTTGTTTAGTATCATGTAAGATCGCAGAGGAAAAGGTTCATGAAAGTTGTGTGCTGAGATCACTTAAAAATGCAACAAACTTTAGCCTATATGACAAAGGTTCTTATCTGAGATCAAGGCTCTAATGCAGCCAAACCTTAGTTTGTCTATTGAGCTGCTTCATGAGCAGTGCCCTTGTGAAGAGATGCAATTATGGTAGTGATTAGTGAAAGACTTCTAATTTAAATTATTATTAGCATGCAAGGTTATAATATTGTTAGATGTTGGGATGTCTATGTTCTTTCAGTTTCTTATGGACAGAGGTTGTCTTGTCCGGTATAACTTTCTAATGCCATATTGGATAATAGATGTGTGCTGCACAATTATTGCATACGATGTACAGCCTATTAGTGACAACTACGGAATATCAGGTCGATAGGCATGATTTTCATTTCACACATCCAGTTTTACCATATCAGGCAGAAGGCTATATAGTATGTTGTATGAAATATTGATATCATAGTAGCAGCAGTAGTTTTCTCTGATTCGATTGACTCTGGCTAATGCCATCAGTATGAATTGTCTGCTTGTGCTATTGTCCTCATATATTGTAGTATATAAACAGACCTTTTTATACATGATTTTTCAGGAGCAACGAACCCTCGATCTCCAATTTGTACTCCTCGAGGCAACTATTCCGTAGATCAGAGATCACAAGGAGTCCATCATAACCCTCTTGGAAACCCTGGGCAAAATAGTCCTTTTGGCACACCACAAAGAGGTTCCCCTAGTGCATGGAATAACTCTTTTGGCACACCTAACAACTACCTTCCACCTAATTCCTCAATGGGTGGTAACTTTGCCAGTCCTGGCATTCATCAAGGTGGAAGACCTGGTTTCCATTATGGACAAGGTAGCGGGCGACCTGGTTCAGGATATGGAGGCAGCCCTTACCAAGGTTCAGGATATAGAGGCAACCCTTACCAAGATTCAGGGCACAGAGGCAGCCCTTACCAACATTCAGGGAACATAGGGACCCCATACCAACGTCCTGGGAACAGAGGGATCCCTTACCAAGGTTCCGGGCAAGGCAGGAGCCATTGGAGGGGTAATAGTTCTAGTCCTATTTCGTTTCGAGGTGGTAGAAGGGGGGGAAGAGGTTCCCACGGAGGCACATCAGGGGAGTCTAGACCAGATTTGTATTATTCAAAGTCAATGGTAGAAGATCCATGGAAAGAGTTGAAGCCAGTTATCTGGAAGGCATTCTCTGATAAATCCTGGCTTCCAAACTCCATTAGTGCAAAAAAAGCCAAACTCCCAGATGCTCCAGTAAAATCGATTCCTCAGCAAAGCCTTGCCGAGTGTTTGGCTGCCTCATTTAATGAAGCAGCTAGCAGTGAGGCTGCGACTGATGGGTCTGGAACATGATTGTCATGTGATGCCTCAGTGTCTTGCTTATGATGTTCTCACTCTCCTAATATCGTCAAAATGCAAGTTTAGCAGCAGTTGAGTAGTTTGACATTTATTGTGAGTTAACATCGAAAGCTAATAAGCTCCGGTCTCTGTTTCACCTGAATTATGCTGTTATAGCATATGACATTACCTGGTAACTGTTGGGAAAAAAGATATTTTTGTTTTTGTGTGAGTTCAAAGTTAACTGGTTTTTTTCTCCCAACTTCAAATTTGTGAAGTAGTAAATAATTTTGCATCATGTTTCTCCTGCTAGTAGTATTAATATTTTTATTTTTTTTTGGTATTTTTATTATTTTACTATTTCCGTATTTCTCCGCCGTGGGAAGAGCCGCTTCCTTCTTGCTTGATAGGGGGGGCTTCCATTCACCAGCACAGACTAAAAGTGCTCTCCGAACCGTGCTGGATAGTCACCCATCACACGGCTCTCAAACCCAACCTGTGGTGGATCCCGGGAGACAAAGTCAAAACGCAACATCCTTTTCTCATTCTTAGTTTTCTATTACTACTTGTTGTCTCTTATGTCTCTTTTCTTGCTATCCTGTTGTTGTTACTACTTGTCTTTATAAATGTTGTGTTTTTGCGTTGATCCACCCCTTATTAATTGACATGTTTTCTTCACTACCGTATTTCCTTTTTCATAACTATTTTGATTTGTTGCACTTGAGCCGAAGGTCTTTCAGAAGCAACCTCTCTTCTATGAACACTTTACCCTCCTCAGACCCCACTTGTGAGATTACACGAGGTATGTTGTCGTATTTTGTGAGATGCTTCAGTAAGATCCACTCCTCAGGCTGCCTCAATTTAATGAGGCTGTGAATATTGATGAATTTGTCACATGATACTTTGTACTTTCTCAGCATCTTAAATTGTTATGTCTTTACTAACTGTACTTTTTGTTACTGGCAGTAGTTGAGTTGTTTCTTGTTGTTAGTTAATCATTGATAGCAAATAAATTCCATTCATGTGTCACTTGAATTCTGCTGTTGTAGCACATGCAATTACCTCTTTTTGTTGAAAGAATCCCTTTTTTTGTTTAGTGGTAGCATATAATGGTAAAGTTGTCTATCTGTAATAAGTAGGTTACAAGTACGAGTCATAGAATCAACCATGAATTCTACTGTTGTTGCACATGCAACTAACATGAAATGCTTTGTAACATGTAATACCCCACTTATTCTTGAATGGAACCCTTCCTTTTGATGTTGTGGTAACATGCCACGGTAAAAATATTTCCGTGTGATGGGTAAGTCACAAGTTCGAATTATAAAATCAAATATGTATTAATGTTTGTGTTAGAATATGATGTTTATATTACATGTATCTCTTCATGATGCAATCTTTCTTTGATTAAATACGAAATTTTGTATGATATGTAAGTTACAAGTTTGAGTTATAAAATTAGACATGGATTAATGCTTGTTTTAGAATATGTTGTTTCTATTACATAGATCCCTTCAGGATACAATCTTTCTTCGATTAAACACGAAATTTTATATGATATGTAAGCTATAAGTTTGAGTTATAAAATCAGACATGCATTAATGCTTCTGTTAGAATATGTTGTTTATATCCCTTCAGGGTATAATCTTTCTTCGATTAAATACAAAATTTTGTGTGATATGTAAGTCACAAGTTTAAGTTATAAAATCAGACATGTGCTAAAACTTATATTAGAATATTTTGTTTATATTACATATATTCTTTCAAATGAATAAGTGGTGAGTCAATTATCCTCAAATTTCAGAGGCTTCAATTAGTCTTAAAGGTTGACCTTATTAAATAAATTTTCGATCATCAATAAATATATATAAATTAATCTTATACCTAATTATATACACTATATATGCGTATATCAAATAGATGTTAGATGTACTAATTTTAGCTCGAATAATAAGTGTTTTCGTATAATAATTTATTTCATTCTATAAATTATGGAGTACAAATTATATAGATTTGATAAGGAGGTGGGATATCAAAATCAAACAAATAGAAATATCAATCAATAAAATTAGACATGTTTTCAGTACCACAAACTTTAATAATATAAGTAACAGTACATATACATTTGAGAGTTTCTTTTACTTTTACGATGTAATAATAAGATTTATGTATATTTTGTTCTCCTCATATGATCAGATCTGTGAGATTTCACAAGATGTTATTGTTGTTGTTGCTCATTTATTGGTCTTTGGAGAGCGTTTAATCATGAATTTTTTTTTTACTTTTTTTTTTAAGTTCAACTTAAAAAAAATACGTTTAACCATAAAATTAAACAGTCTGAATTTCACTTTTCCAACTCTCTTGCTCGTTTGGCCATAGATTTCCCAAGTAAATTTTTGGGGGAAATTTGGCAAATAGTGTTTGTCCATACAATTTGTCATTATTTGTCAAATACTTTTAGCAAATAACCAAATTATCAAATACTAGAAAAAACTAGTATTTGGGTCAAATCTCATTATTTGGGAATTTTTAATAATTCAAATTTTACACCAAATTATTATCTTTTACAAGAACACTCTCTATAGTAATTGTTTACATTGTTTTATATAATTTTTTACGTGAACATCAAAGCAGTGATGGAATATTCAGTGAATATGAAAATAATGATATGGTTATTGATGAAAGTGATGAACAATCGACTTAGGGTAACAAAGTCACGTGCTATGTAATACCAACTTATGGTTAGTTTTGATAGTTATTAAAATTTATGGGTATAAAATATAAATCATATTTCTTAAAAAAGTGAAATATATTTCTCAAATATTATGGTCAAACACATAGTGAAATTTCATCCAAATAATATTTGCCAAAAATATTTAGAAATTTATGGCCAAACGCTAGCTAATAATCTTTTCCCCACATTTTTTCAATAGCGTAGACTTTACCTGCTAGAAGGGGTAAAAGGACTTTGAATATCAGGGTGCCACATTAATTAACACACTTTATGGTTTTATAATTGGGTTTGGCATGAATTTTCCCAAAAATATCTTATGATATAATATCAATCTTCTAATTGGACTCATACTAGTTTACTAGGCTCCCTGTTTAGTTTGATTATTCTAACTTTTTTATACCCAAAAAATGAATGATAGTGTAAGGTTTTATATTATTAGTATTGGAAATAAATAATGATGTGGTTGAAAGTACAGAACCACATATTGAATTACTCCAATGTGATAGGAAGTCGTTATTAACGTCGAGTCTTTTTCTATATCGCTAGCTATGCTAATTTATTATTATGTCATTTGACATTGTAAAAATTTTCTTTACATTATCAGTGGATTAGATCTAAGTTAATTTTTCATACTTTTTTGTTGTTGTAATTGCAAAATGTCCCACAAAAGAAGAAAAAATTATGGTAAAATCCACAATTATAAGTCTTTTTCAAGCTTTGTGTAATTGAAAAATAATTATTGTCAAATAATTTCAAATTTCACAAATAAAACTCCAGCATATTATTGCAAAACTCCACTTATTGTAGATACAAAACTTTACATAATTATGATAAAGCTAAAAAGTGACTAATAAACATTATTTCTATGAAGTTCATTAATTGAGCAACCCCCAACTACATAGCTACCATGCTTAATATCATGAATTGCAAGTGGCCTAACAATTTGCTTCTTTTTTTCAAGTCTAGTAATATCATAAAAGTTTTTATTTTAATTAATAAACTTCATAGGAATAATGTTCCTAAATAGTGATATAGGCAAGGATTGAAACTTAAAACCAATTTGGCCCCTTAGCTCATTTATTAAGCATATCTCCCCAAGTTTTTTTTTTTTGGAGTATATGTTAACATTAAGTGAGTACAAATAATAGTAAAAATTATTTTTTAGTACTGAATATGTAAAGGTGAATAGAGGGAGTTTTTCTTAATATCTAGGGATGTCAAATTGAGTTCAAAAGTTATTTGAGTTGATTGAATTAAAAATGAATCATAATTTAATCGGTCTAATTCTTACTAAATTTTGTTTTGTTTATTTATCTACTTAATAAAATAATTCTTTATTAGATATACTTCACCTTCCTCTATTGCAATTTGTTTGTTCATTTATCTACTTGACATGAAATTTTAGGAAAATAAAGAAAACTCTTAAATCTTGTGGTTTTAAACTAGAGATACGTAGAATGTACAAAAATGTTCTTTAATTTTGTAGTCTTAAACAACTCACATGGAAATTTAGAAGGAGTTGCTAAAAAGGAGAAAAATATTATTCTTTTAAAATGGACTAAAAAGGAAAGTAAAACAAACAAATTAAAATGAAGCAAGTATAACATATATATCAAATAAAAAAATCGACAAAATTTCTCATGAATCATTTTTTATTACATATCAGTACAACTTTTAGATGAATGGATCAAAATAAATTGAACTAATGAATAGACATAACAATAATTCGCCCAAATAGACAAATCAAGAAAATATATTATATTTTCATGAGCTAATTTTATCACCTCTTTATTATATATAGGGAAAAAGGACAAATATACCCCTGAACTATTGTAAATGGTATGCAGATACCCTGTCATACTTTTGGGACATTGGTGTCCCTGCCGTCCAAAAACTAGAGCATTTATACCCTTCATACTAACGGACATACACGTGTCATAATCTTATCCGCCGACCTGATGGATAAGATTGCACCACGTGTCCCTATATAATCTTTTGTTAGAGTTAAGGGTGTATACATTCTAGTTTTTGGATGGCAGAGCACCAATATCCCAAAAGTACGACGGAGGGTATCCCCATACCATTTACAATAGTTCGGGGTATATTACAATGCGCGCAAGTGCAGGGCAAACCTTCAAAGACTTCAACCCGCCCCACCCACAAGCATAGCCTAAAATATACCCCACCTAGTTGTCCCAATGGAGAAACTGTCATAACTTTCACTAATGGAGTTTAAAATATGAATAAAAAAAACACACGAAGAAAAAAAATCAAAAGGATTCAATATCTAGTATTATATAATAAAAAATCATATATAAATAACGTTATTTATTTTTATTTGAACCCTTAATCTTACATGGATCCTGTTCCATCCACTACTAGAAAATTGTAAATTACCTGCAGATTTTATTTGGGGATTATTTCAGCAGAAATTTCCTACGAATTTTCATGCATAAATATGCAATTTCTAAATTCTAGATTGTTTTACATGCAAAAAATATTTCCCCAGAAAAATTGGTAAGTAAATTTGGCGTCATTTTTGTAAAATTATTACTTGGGGAATTATGTAGGGCAAGTAATTTGCGAGTATCATTTTCATAGGTAAATTCGCAAGTATAAAAACATATTTTATTTTTAATCTTTTTGCAAGAAAATTCATAGATAATATAAACTTATTTGCAGATTAAGCAAGGAATAATTACATGGAAATTTATCTAGAAATTTTTTATATATGATATTTCCTGAAGAATAATGTTCTAAGAATTTTGTTGGGGATTTATTTCTTAGGGATTTACTTGAGAATTTTTATACTTGAATAATTACTTGGAGATTTTATTTTTGTGAATTTGGTTGGAGATTTTTTTGAGGGATTTGCTTGAAACTATGCATACTTGAATTTTTTAAATATAATTTAATTGAATTTTTTTTTCTTGAATCTAAGGTTTTTTAAAAATTTGGAGTCCTCGAGTAATATTTTCTTTAAAATATATTTACTAAAATTAAAAATTATATTAATATAAAAAAATGGCAATGACACTAGAAGAAATTTTATTGTTAAATATTTACTATACTTTTTGGTTAAATAAATTATTATACAATAATATCAATCTAATAAAGTGTTGGAACATTACTACAAATGCCAAGATCAATATTTTTAACTAATATATAATTAATATTTAATGTCACCAAAAATCATAGATACCATTTTTTATTTGAAAGATACAAAGTATTGAAATTATATGGCTAGTTAATCAAAAAATAACTATCATTATTATAATTAACTTTGATTTTAATATTACTTTATAGTAAATTGTGTTATTGAATAAGTTAAGCACTATTTTTAAGTAGAAAAAATCGATTATATACCTTATTAATGTGAAGTTTAATTACTTCCTCGTTGATAGAATTATATAAAATGAAATGATTTTTACTTGTATATCCAATTGATATATTATTTTTTACAAGCATTAAAAATGATATAATTATTCTATAGTAAGTTATTAAATGATATTTCTTTCCAAATACTATAATTAAGTATTTTAAAATATAATTATTAAAAGATAAATTTAAATTAAAAATACTACACATACCTAATAAGATATACAATTAATTATTGATTATAACTTTCTTCCACATTAAACTTATAAATATATTTATATTTTCAATTGTTTATTTATAAGAATTTTGTACGTATAATTTAAATTTTTCCTGCGTTTAATATGCTTAGTTATGGATATTATCTTATAGAAAGTGTAAGCATAAAATTTTCATAATATGTTGTGTGGTAGTGATTTATTTTTAAATGTATAAATAATTTTCATTTTTCATTTTTTAAGAGTTAAATTACATGAACTTTAGCCAATATTTGAGGAATATTTCGTTACCATATTAATATGAGATGTCTTTATAGTTCTTTTTGTGTAATTTATGAATGTTAAAATTGTATTTCTAATACTCAATTAATTTAATTAAATTTAGCTTTAAAAATTAATCAAATCGGAGAAGAACACAAAAAACTAGTGTAATGTTTTTGGTGCATATTGTACCACATCGATGGAAGACTCCAAGAATTCAGCATATACTTCCACTGTCCACTTTTAATTGTCATGTTGCGCTTTTCGAAAGTCAATTTGACTAATTTTCAAAGTTATATTAGATTTCATTAATTTGGTAGTTTAAAAAAAAGTTAGATATTCAAAAACTATACGAAAAGTACTATAAATTTCATTTTTTTGCATAAAAATATGATTAAAAAAATATATCGTAAAATGCTAATTAAAATTATTATCGTTTGATTCTAAAAAAGAAAATTATGATAATTAAAAGTGGACGATGGTAGTATAATGCTAAGACATAGAGTATTGGGTGAATGAGACAATTATGTATGGGGTGGGCATTGTCTAGTGTGTTGGGATTAAATTAAGCGTTTAATATGGGTGGAAATGGTATTAAGTATAGGCAATCAAGAAGAGGTGTATATGTGTATGGGTGGACAATGATATAAAATGCGGGTAATAAAGAAGAGGTGTATATGTGTATGAGTTTCAATAAGCAAAATAATTAATATTGCTTAAAAGAATTTCTTAAAAAAATATTAGAATATTTTCATGCGGCTTCACTAGTGAAAAAAATGGTAAGAAAAATTCTATTTTGTTATTTTTTACCAAAAATTTTGGAATATTTTTAGCATTTTTTGCAAGAAAATTCGTAAGTAATTTACATGCGAAATATAAATCCCTAGGTAAATTAATTGGGGATTTTGAATTTCGTAGGAAATATTCAGCTACGAAGGTTTTATCACCGGATTCTTTTTGGTAGGAAAATCCGTTAGTTTCCTGCAAATTTTCGTATACAATCCCTAGGAAAATCCCCAAGTAATCAACACTTTTCTTGTAGTGACCATTGTATAGTAGATGCGAATTCAAGATTTGAAGACTTCAAGTCTACCAAATATGATTAAAATAAAAATAATGAAATAGCACTCTAACTAGATTCAAATCCTAATCTCGCCACATGTGGTTCATTTGCCTGGTACAAGTGGCACAAGAACACTCCTATGTTCCTCACAGGTGTACGGTTAATTATATCCTACTTTCTATCAGTTTTTCAAGATAAATATACATATGACTTTTTTCGAAGTTAACGGGTGCACGTGCAGGTCCACTGATAAAGATGGGTCCGCCATCTCCTAACTATATTCAATCTATAAATTCACTCCCTTTTCATCTCCTTTTAGCACCTTAACTCTCTCTTCCAAAATTTTCTTTAAAAAAAAAAAAAACTTCCCTTTCATTCCATGGATCACGTCGAGAAATTAATCTCCGATGTGAAATTATCGTCCGTCGTGCCGGGGAGGATCACCGGCGACGACAAACTTCAGCATGAATTTACCAACATGGACTTTATCATGAAGCTTCATTACATTAAAGCTCTTTATTTTTTCAAAAATGATGCTGTTGAAGGTTTGCATATTCATGACCTAAAACTTCCCATGTTTAACCTTCTTGAACTTTATTACCCAACTTCCGGCAGAATTAGGCGGTACGACGACGGTGATGGTGGTGGTGGCCGGCCGTTCATAAAGTGTAATGACGGTGGTGTTAGAATTGTTGAAGCAAAATGTAAAAATAAAACAATTGATGAGTGGCTTGCCATGAATGATAATGATCATGATGAGGAGCTTGTTTATGATCAACTTCTTGGTCCTGAGTTGGGATTTTCACCTCTTGTTTTCATACAGGTAATTACGTTTTGAGTTGACACGGAATTTAAAAAATAATAATTTTGTATTTGAATCTTGTCGTGTTAAACTAAAGATATATATAAAGACATATTGTAATACATAAACATGTTCTTTAACTTGTTTTGATCCGATGTCATCATCAATGGCGGATCCAGAGTTTCAACTAAAGGGTGTCAACATATAAAAAAGTAAAATCACGTAGAAGTCAAAAAGTGTCAATTTATGATATAAACAAATATATATGGCTCAACAACTGACTATCATCTATTCCTTCTAATTTTGGATGTGCATAAATAAATACACGTATGCGTCTTACATAAATCAATACAAATATATTTTATACAAATTATTGTATAGGTTGACTATCAGTATTTATTATTTAAATTGACTTGTCTAGAATTACATGTTGATCATTAAATACAAATTCTAGGTTCATGTCTTAGCTGAAAAGTTAGATTCATGATAAAAAAAAAATTCAATATAATTTCACAAATAAAAATTAAGAAGAATAATGTGTACATGACCTTTATTGCTACCGTGAGACGATAGAAAGGCTATAGGATAGACTATCAACTCAAAGAAGAAGAAAAAGAGGCAAAATAATAATGACACTAGTTCCCTTCAATTCGTAAATTGTTAGGTATGGCACATCACTTAAAAATAATAATTGTACGTACTATCATTAATACATGAGCAGCCCTACGTAAAAAAAAAAAGGTTAGTTGGAGTTATGGCTCTTTATTACATTATTATTGTTGGTTGTTCCCTCTGTCCACTATTATTTGTCAGGTATACTAAAAATAGTTATTTAAATTAATTAATTGTCAATTTAAACAATCAAGAAATAATTAGTCATTTTTTTTCAATTTTGCCCTTAATAATTACATAACTACTAGTTTCAAAAAGTAGTCATTTTAAAGTTACAAGACTATTTTAACGTGAAAAAAAATTGTTTTTACCGTTTTCAAAAAGTACAAACCATTTTAATAATGATTGATAGTAGAATTATATTAGTCAAATTGCACCTTATATAAAATCTTTCTTAAGGATTGTGCACGATCTTACCTTGACAAATAATAGTGGACGGAGGGAGTATTATTGTGCCCCCTTGGGTAACTAACTCATTGAGATTATTTAAGTTATATTGATGTTATAAAATTAGTTATTTAAATGATTATTAGTGGTGCATCAATCTTAAACTGTTGTACATGCTCACTCATTTCCATATCTTGTGATACTCTCGTTTTAGTTTATCTCAAAATGAATTTAAAAATAATTTAACTAAAAAATTCATATTTTACTCTTGGTGAGATGATATCTAGGTATGAAAAATGTATATGGCTTATTTATATTATAACTTTCAAAAGTCTCTCATTCATTTCGAAACTTTGTGCACATACCATCAAACAATGCCACATATATAAAATGAGACAAAGGGAGTATATATATTATACATATAAAAATAATGATAAGACCACACACCTAATCTATCATTTTATCGCAAGTTTCACATCCAATTATTAGTTGTTCCAAAAAATAAAACTATTAGGTGTTCCTTTTTTCTAAGATTGTTTAGGTAGGAAAACCTAGTAGTTGATAGTTAAGGTATCTTTTAACACATAGATGGTGATAGTTAGAGTAAAAAAAAAGGAACAACTAATAAATGAAGTGTAGGGGTGTACAAAACCGAACCAAACCGCAAACCGAGTCAACCCGAAAAAAAACCCGACTAGTGGTTTGGTTTGACTTGGTTTGGTTTTGAAAAAAAAAAACCCGACTATATTTGGGTTGGTTTGGTTTTAACTAAAAAAAACCAACTCGAGACCAAACCAACCCGAATTTATATATATAATTTTAAAATTTTATTTTATACATAAAAATATTTACTTTGATATAATTTTTAAATGTTTCTTATACTTTTCCATAGTTTTTATCTTTTAATATATTATTTCAAGTTTGAAACTTAGAATTATGAATGGGGCAATAAAGATTATAGTCCACAGATATTGATAATTATAATAAAGCTTAAATCAAAATCAAATTATTACTAATGCAAAAAGAAAATCAATTCAACACTAAGAATGATAATAATATTGAATATTTGTTCTTTAGTTTTACATTGGTTTAGACAATTAAAATACATAATCTAAATTTAATTTTCTTTAATATTTAGTCATGTAACTAATACTTATTAAACTTAATTTTAGCATGATTTAGTACTTTTAAATTATGATCATTTTCATTATGACTTGTTAATTTGCAATATTTGTTTTACGCGATTTCATTATTATTATTTTTGTTGGATATTTTAGTGTCATTAATCATATCATATGGTGTTATATTTTTAAGAAACATCTTAGATAGTTGTATTTTGGTAGGACTAAAGAAATATTTGAAGTACAAGTAAATTATATGTTTGTATGAATATTTTACCGGAAAAACCCAAAACAACCTGAAAAACTGAAAAACCCAAAAAAACCCGAGGTTGAAAAACCCGAGTTTTATTGGTTTGGTTTATAAATTTAAAAATCCGACACAAATGGTTTGGTTTGATAATTGAAAAACCCGAACCAACCCGGCCATGTACACCCTTAATGAGGTGTATGAAACTCACGAAAAAATGATAGTTCAGATGTGTTTTTGACCATTAACTTAATAAAATTCGGAACTTCCATTTTCTAGTAGTTATTAAGTTAATATTTTTTTGTCTACATTGAATCTTTTTGTGTATAGTTCACTTGGTTCAAATGTGGAGGGATGTCAATTGGGCTAAGTTGGGCTCATATACTTGGAGATTCATTTTCAGCTTCAAATTTCCTCAACATGTGGGCAAAAATCATGGTTGGTCAACTAATTTCACCTCAATTTCTTCACAAGTCAACAAACACCAACAAATTGATCAATAGTAATCCAATATTACTATCTATTGTTGGAAAGTTGCCATTTTCTCTAAAGAGAGTTGATCCAGTTGGTGATCATTGGAAAATCACCAACACTATCAAAATGCAATCACATTCTTTCCATATCACACAAAAGCAACTAAACCAACTAATTTCCAAGGTTTGTGGAACTTATAAAGTGAAGCCTTTTGATGTTATTTGTGCTACAATGTGGAAAATGTTGGCTAAGGTAAGGGGAGAATATTCATCAGAGCCCGCGATTGTGACAATTATACGTGGGGATGACAATGAAACAACTGAAGTCGTGTCAAGCAACAATCAAGTGATTATCAGCATAGTTGAAGCAAATGACGTTAAAGTTTCTGAGGCTGATACTTCAGAACTAACAGAGTTGATAGCTGAAAAGACCGTGGACGAGACTAGAGTTGTTGAAGAACTAATGGAAAAAGAAAATGGCGTTCCGGACTTTATTGTGTATGGGGCAAATCTCACATTTGTGAATCTTGAAGAGGCAAAGATTTATGATTTGGAACTTAGGGGTAAACAACCAATATTTGCAAGTTATAACATAAGTGGAGTTGGTGATGAAGGTGTTATTTTGGTATTACCAAGGCTTGAAGGTGGAAGGATAGTGAATTTGGTTTTGCCTCAAAAACAAATTGAAGGTTTGAAAAATAAGATGAGAGAGGAATTAGGTGTTTTTTGAAATTAGTATTTTTCTATTTTCATGGCCATTTGATAAATAAGGTTCTTGGCTTTTGTTGTTTAAATTTGAAAACCCAATGTTTATTTTATTTTGGTGATGATTTGTAAAAGCACAAGTCCATAGTCCATACCATATATGAGTATGTTTGAACATTCTAAAATAATTATAAATTTGTGTAATTGTTGATCTTTTTTATATTAATAGAAAAGGAAAAATGAAGAGGAATACAAAATAGAATAAAGAAGAAAAAGAAGATGATCTATATAGTAAAATAACATATATTCAATGGCGTTGTTTCTACGAATGACAATTGATGCTCTGTGAGGCTTATGCCTATGTGCCCAATTGTACGCCTCATGTCCAATGTTTGAGGCTCGCCTAACAGATTTTATTTAAATTATTTGTTCAATTCTATAATTAACATTTACAATTGTTGATCCTCATATTTCTTTAAAAATGAATGATACTTAATATTCCTTCTATCCATTTTTAATTGTCATGTTGCGTTTTTTGAAAGTCAATTTAACTAATTTTAAAGTTGTAATAGATTACATTAATTTGATAATTTAAACAAAAAAAATAGATATTTCAAAATCTAGACGAAAAGTACTATAAATTGCAATTTTTTGCATATCAATTTGATAAAAAAAATATATCGTAAAATGTTAGTCAAAGTTCTTATCGTTTGACTCCAAGAAAGGAAATCATTACAATTAAAAATGGACGGAGGAAGTAGTTTTTTCATCTATAGAAATTAAAAGATTGGGTAACTCAAAACAAGTCATAATATTGCATATTTAGTATTTGAGAATAACTAAGGGTGAATATTACTTAACATTTATTTTGAAAATACATAACCAAATTTTACATCTTCACTTGCCAATGGTCTCCGTCTTTTTGCCATATGACTTAACGTTATCATATTTTATTGTGTTGGTATGTGAAAGTAATTTTATTTTTATTTATAACGAAGTGATGTTTTTATTATAATACTCATAAAGTTTTTTTAATTTTTGTTTTAGGGAGGTAAATTGTATAGTATGATAGTAATATATTTTAAGAAATTGTGATTCTTTTATTATTTGAAAGTTAAGATGTTAGAGATGATTTGCATTCCATAATAACTTTTATATCATTATATTATTTATACTTGTAAAATCATGTTAAAAGTTTTATTTTTATGAGTTTTTTTAATCATATTTTTAGTTGTTTTATACTATTAATATCTTTATAATTACATGTTATATTATTAATTTACTACATTATAAATTAAAAATTGAAAGATTCATAAAACTTACACCTCGTCCCGTGCTAAGTGAAACGCCCTGCCTCACTCACCGTCTTTTAAAACATGGTCCGAGATGAGGATTGGTACCTCTGCCCCATACACCACCCTAAAAAGAAGGTGAATTTTAGAGATCAGTAATATTTATATATATATTATTTTATTTTTTATTTTTAAAAAATAATTCTTGAAAGTGAAATTCCTCGTACTTAACTGAAAATTAAGGAAGACTATTTTTTTCCATGTCCATAAATAACATTACAAAAACTTGATGATTTTTCAATCATGGTGTTATATTCCCATGCATTATTGAGGCCTACCTGTAAACATATAATTTAAGAATATTTTTTTCTAATAACCAAATGAAAATATAAGTTTAAATGGATGCATTTTTAGCTATTAAGGCTCTCTCAAAATATTGTATTTTTAATCAACAAATTCAAAAATAATTTATATTTTATCCACAAAACTATAATCTCTTCGCCTAATAAGTAATGTAACTAACAACAATAACCACAACATGTGATGTAATTCTACCAATAATATCTGGAGAGAATAAAATATATCGTGTACATATATCTTATTTCTATATGGAAGGTTAAAAGGTTATTTTTGTAGAAAAAAAACATATCAAAATAGATTGAAAACGAAATAACAAAGTGAAGAAACCATGATAAAATACTATCGAAAGCATGATAAAGTATTCATAAAAAAGGGAAGATTGCTACTATTTGTATGAAAAGATAAGCAAGACAACGCTCCATACTTACTAAACTTGTATCCTCTCTACATCCGCTTATCTAATGTAACGTCTTCGATAAGATGTAAATGTGTCATGTCTAATCACTTCTCAATACTTTTAACGCTCCACTACTTATTTAACTTGTATCTCCTTCACGACATTTTATCGAAAGTAATGTCTTCGGTAAACTGTAATTGTGTCATGTCTAATCATCTCTCAATACTTCTGGGACTTACCTTTGAGAATACAGTAACGCGTGCCTCCACGCTCTCCTGTCAGTGCAAAAACGGCGTCGTTTTCTTCATCGTTCTCAGAATCTTCACTAGGTTTTGTCCTTTCTCTCTCTACACTAATCCTAAAACCCTTTTCTCTCTCTTCAATCGATCTATCAGTGAAAATTTTCTAGTCCAGATATGTATTTTACGCAGAAATAGAGGAAGAAAAACAGATTCAGAATGTTAGAGGAAATGAAGAAACAGAAGTGTTTTATTAGTGAAGAAGATATAGCTATTCTCTTACAAAGGTAGATTTTTTTGTTGATTTTTGTTTTTTTAATACTTGGGTTATTGAAAAAAAATGGATTTTTTTGTTGATTTTTGAAGGTATTCGGTATCAACAGTGCTGGCAATATTGCAAGAGGTGGGACAAGTAGCAGATGAAAAAATCGATTGGAATGCAATGGTGAGGAAGTCTACTACTGGGATTACAAATGCAAGAGAATATCAAATGTTATGGAGGCATTTGGCTTATCGACATGGCTTGGTTGATAAATTTGATGATGAGGCTCAACCTTTGGTAAGTCCATTGACTAAATAGTTAGTCTTTCTAAGCTTCCGTATGCCGTGTATTTTGAACTTGAAACTCTGAGTTTTTGAAGTTTTGTGAGTGGAAGTTCCAAAAACTGGTCTGAGCTGGTTTTTAGGAACTTGATAATATTTGAAGGTCGGATTTGAAAATCCGATCAGATTTCATGGACAAATAGATAAAACTATGGCCAAACGCTAGCTAAGTATATTTTGGAATTAAAGGTCCAAATGGATTTAAGTAATTCACAGCTGAACTAGGTTGTTTGAGATGAACTAGCCTGGCAGTTGTAGTTTTGCATTAAAAAAATCTTTTTTTTGAATGGAAGTGATATTTTATTGAGATATTATGGTAAAATCCGTTTATAAGAAGTGTATACTTTGTTGATGATCAGAAAGCTTAGCTAAAATAAAAAGCACTAAGCTTTTACTAGGTAATGTCCCCTTCCCTCCAAGTACCCACATATGTGCTAGGTGTGTGAATTGCTTATTGTTATGCATAATCTAAGTTAATTTTGGTAAATTTGGGAAATGTTATGCATGTAAAGTGGAGTATATGTTTATCATATGTTGTTAGTTTTTCAGTCTATTAATGTGGAGTTGTGTTTTAGTCTATAAATTCATGATCTTGTTTGAATCATTATGTGGGCGTAAGCTAAGGGCATGCATTGTTTGCTGATGTATGGTGGTCAATGTCTGTTGTTTGCTGTGAGATGAAAGATCCACCTTATATCTTGAACCATATGTTGGTAATTTTCAATTTCATGCTATTGTTTGTTGATCTTGCACTTTTTGATGACAGGATGATGACAGTGATTTAGAATATGAGTTGGAAGCTTTCCCTGCTGTAAGCAGTGAAGCTTCAGCAGAAGCTGCAGCAAGTGCGAAGGTAAGTCAAACAACCTGCCCAGAGTGGTAATTTCCTTAAGCAAACACGGTATTTGTGAATAACTGCTTGGCTGAACTGCTTGCTTCTTTCTTTTACGCTCAGTTTATGTTGCATATAACCAATTGTGTGGTTTTTTGGAATCTTGGGTTTGGACAGATGCTAATTGCTTCCGGGGCTCCAAATGATGCCAATATGTTAAATGGTTCAACCATTGAGGCTCCATTGACTATAAATATACCAAATGGCCAAACATCTAGAACTGGTATGGATAATTCATTCCAAGGTACTTCTATGCATGGGACAAATATTACAGTCCCAGTTGCAGTGCAAAAACAGCCACTGTCCACTGTGGTGGCTGCTGAGGGATTGGAAACCCATGGACCAGGTTGTACCAACTTGCCTCCTCGACGAAAGCGTAAACCATGGTCAGAAGCAGAAGACGTGGAACTTATAGCTGCAGTTCAAAAATGCGGCGAAGGAAACTGGGCAAACATATTGAAAGGGGATTTTAAGGGAGACAGAACAGCTTCCCAGCTCTCTCAGGTTTTCCTTTGTATATGATTAATATATCTCTGTCTTTATCAAAATAATGATTAATATATCTATCCTTTATTTTAAAAAAAGTTCTATACACATTCTCCAGTTTATTATTAAACTGGAAACACATTACTCTCTCTAGTTAGTAAATGCTTTTACCTTATTAAGGGTAGCACAAACATGGTGCTATTTGGCATCATATTTTGGAAACTCTCTTTCTGTCAACTTTGATAGGTAGAAAAGTTGTTAGAGGAAGTAGTTGATCTTTCATTGCTTAGGTTAATCTTTCACTTGGAGGTAAGTAATTTTTTGAGTTTTGTGGTTTGCAGCTCACTAAATTAATCTCATCCAAAATTCTACCCCTTTTATTTGCTCCAAAGAGTACAAAACAATAAAATAAATTGTTGTCCAGCTCAGTTACTTGATTTGCTGTAGATTTGCAGTTAGTAAAAAAGACAACATACATCCAGGATATTTTCATTATCATTCCAGCTATCTAACTAGAGTTTGCTTCATTACGAATCTATTGATTGAGGTTTGGAAGGGAGATCTTATCAGTTTGAGAAAATAGAAAACTGCTTCTGCCTTTTAGTGTTTCACAAAATGAGAGGAGAATTGGGAAGGAATTAAAAGGAATAAAACGAAATGAAGATTGAGTGGAATAGCCCCAATGGTAAGATCGTACTAACTACTAAGGAACAAAGAAGAGTATGCTGTGCTGCTCCTCAATCTTGAACTGTTGGTGTGTTCACCACATCTTGGATTAGGCAACTACCAACTCATGTCTTGCAATTTCCAAAATTTGATGGTTTGTGAATATATTGTTCTTCCACTCAGACTGACTTTGTTTTTCAAGCATTAGATTTTGATTATTTCAAAAATGGCAAGGTATGGTTGGACCAATAACAAGTTTTTAGTATATAATCGCATTTTGATAGGAATCTATGGATGGATCTTCAATTCCTCCATGGAGCCGTTTTGTGCGATTACATGGTTAGTCTCTTCAAATTTATTTCTGCCTTCAGACCAAAAGTGTCCTTAACCCTCATACTGTTCCAGCTGTATATCAGCCATCAGACCAAAAGTGTCCTTAGGCATCACCCAAGTAGTTTCAGCTAATGCTACAAAGATTTGCCAGAGTTGTCTAGTTTAGTAATAACAGAGTGTAGAAATAAATGGCCATTGGTTTCTTCTTCCTGCTGGCATAGAAAGCATCTAAGACTGAGCTGAAAGCCTCTTCTCTAAAGAATTTCCTGTGTGAGGCAAGCTTTTCTTATAAATAGCCATGAAAAACAGACAACTTTGAATGGTGCTTCGATCTTCCATACCTGTTAGTGTTTCCAAGGCCAAGAGGTGTCCTGTCCTGTAGATGGTAGATAGTTGTATGCTGCTCTGACTGTGAATTTTGAATTGCTGCTTCCTTTTCATGTAAGAGAGCCTTCCTCCTCGTTTAGTCCTGTAAAGCCTTTTAGCATTCTGAGGAAATCACTTCAGTAACTCTAGTAACTTCCCAGTAGTTGAGAAGCGTTCTGAAAGATGAATTCCAACCCTGGGAGCTCCAAGATTCTTCTATTGCTGCGTTAGGTGAAGAGGAGAGGACAAATAATTCAGGGAAAAGGTCTTTCAGTGCTTCATGAATATCTAATGAAACTTCTTACTAATCCCTGCTACCAACTTGGACCAATCAATCGTTTTAGGATCACCGTTTTTTGGTAGATAGCTATATCCACTCATCTATGTGGTATGAGGTTATGGGCCAATTTCAAGAAATTTGTGTCAGTTTTATGATATGTATTGGAAACTTATACTTGCTCTGATGTAGGACTGTACATCCCTAGAGATAACTTTCCCTCCTTTTAACTCAATATCTAACGAAACTTCTTTACCGAATCCCTGCTACTAATTTTAACCAAAACCATCGTCTGAAATCCTATCTCCCATTTAAATAGTATCACTTCTTTATGCTTTTTTGGGGGAGAGTGGTAAAAGTTTTTTTTTTAAAAAGGTGGTCAATACTTGCTTTATGATTTTCCATCACCTCTTGCATTTTCTTTCTATTGAAAGGAGAAAACTGCCTATAAACCAGTCCATTTTATGAAGCTATTAAATGTGTACAATGAAATTATTTTGGAGAGCCTTTCTCTATGAGTACAATGCAATGGTTTGGTTTAACTTGTTATAAACAACGCAACAGGGCAACTGTCAGAATGGTCATGCCCTCTGCATTCATTGTCAGATGTAAGCTCTTACAGTGTCAATTGAACATACATATTATTTGCAAATGTTGAAATGCTACTTCCAAATCAATGTTTGTTTGTCAATTGTCCATTATTTCAACTTGAACTTCAAATAGAGAGTTTGAAGTTGAAATAATCATCTGACCAAATTTTATCCAAATTCTACTCATTGGGGTTCTTTTTTTCTTCACTTTTTCAAGGAAGATTTCTCCTTGTATGCTTTGCAATTTATAATTCAACCCAACATTTATTACTACCTAACACTTTCTTCTTCTTTGCCTTTTTTTTCTTCTCTTTCTAGAGGAGTCGGACTAGAGTGAAAGGATTGTAATATTAATTAGGAATATATTTTAAGCTTAGTTGCGCAGACTCTTCACTTTTGATGCTACATCCGTCTCGGATTCTCCAAAAATACACTACTTTTGGCGAATCCGACACGCATCCGTTGGCATTTTTGAAGAGTCCGAGCAACATAAATTTTAAGGCATGATAAAAGCACCGTTTTTTTTTTTTGATAACCGATAAATCCGTCTGTGACCCGGCTTTGGATCAATCACAGTCTTCTAAACTCGGTGGATAATGGGCCCGCCCCTCTACCCTTCTCCACTTAAATACTAGGCTTCGCTTTGCATGGTGTGGGGCTTGAACTAAAAGCACCGTTGTTTTAAATTGTCAAAGTTGGTTGTTCTATAACAAAGTGTGATAAAGTTTGGGAACTTTTGATGGTTACTAGAAAATGTGTGGTATCAGTTATATAGATTGAAATTACTCTAAGCATTAAATTTATTCCAAATATTTTTGTAAAAAATGTTTCTTTTATAAAGAATTTTTGTAGAAAGTGTTATCCGAGCACAACTTCATTTCAAATCAAAACTTTGACGAAGTCAACAACATAGCCAGTATATTCCCACAAGTGGGGTCTGGGGAGGGTGGGGTGTACGTTGACCTTACCGTACCTTTGAGGGATAGAGAGACAAAACTTCAACGAAGTCAAGCATAGAGATACTCAAATTTTAGCTAAAAGAGATTATCCCTCATTTCAACTCCTTTGTCTTAAAAAAGCTCCGTAATTCTCTTTCCCTACTGTGATCTGCTTAATCATATTTTTACTTGTTTCCCCACTTTCATCTTAAGATTTACCTTTTATTCTGATAAGGTAATGATTTTTGTTGACCAATAGGACACTTCCTAGTAGACAATTAGGGGCTGTTTGGGTTGAGAGATAAGGATGTTTAATCCTTGTTTAAATTTGCGTGTATTCCCTATACAACAACTTGTTTGCCGTATAAAACTCAGCATTACTAATATATTCTCGTATAACTAATATAGTGTTTGGTAGAAAACTTCGCACAAGTTGTGCCAAATTTAATTCTGAAAACCAAATGTTGTATTGCCAATGCTTATATAACTTGTATGGGAATACAAGTTACCTTTATAAAAAAAACTTGTATGGGAAGATGTGTGTTATTTTATGCATGATAGAATGTGGAATAAGAATACATGTATTAGCAATACATGGATAATTAGTGGATAAGAGTACCTAAATAAAAGAATACCCTTAAAGTAGATAATTTCCCTTTTATCAATCCCTGCATTTGTTATTCACCACATAACAACCAATACTTTATTATTCATGTAAACAAACCTTACATTAGTATTAATCGCATAAACAATCCCTGTTTTATAATATTACATGACTAAACTCTAAATCAATAGACCCTGTAGTACACGAATAGTAAAAATCTTGCACTATGGTTCTCTATAAGTAACACCAGGCATCTAGACCAACAAGAATTTCATGGATGCAGCAAAAAGTTTCTATAACCAAAGAAACACAAGTCAGTTTTGGTCGATGGCGCTGAATGAATCTTCTATAGATACAGTGATCAATGTGGGGTACAATTAGGGTTCAAAATAATGTCGGCTACAGTTTAGGATGTGATAGTAGTTGAGCATTTGAATGAGGAATCAGAGATGCAAAGTATGGGATGTTACACCTTTGAATCTTATGTGTGGATGGGGCTTGTCTTAAATTTTCATATCACTGGAACAACTTATTATTATCTTATTCAAATGAAAATACAAATAATTTTAAGTAGCTACTTATTGCTTACATTTAAACATATGATACTTCGACCAACTCTAGTGGCACACTAGGTTTATTAGTGAGGCTTCGGGTCCACCAAATGAAGTCTTGAGACTTGAGTGTAGTTAAAAAGGGCACTTGAGACACACTTCAGCCCTACAATTAGGTGCAGACTGAGTCTGTGCTTTGCCTCACGTAGGAAGTGCTTGCCCCAAAGCATGAAAAAAAGCATCTCAACAAAAATGAACCCTTAATTTTTAAAAAGACCCACTAAAAGAAAATGATGTTATTACTTATTAGGAATAGAAAATTAGATGTCTAGTATAAGAAAGCTATTCATCAAATCTAAAAGGTTAAAATTGCATCTGAATAAAAATTTAATGTGGTTTCTCCACCTAATTGACAGGACTTATTTTGCTTATTTCACTTAATTGTAGTTTTTATTTTTGCGGAAAAAAAATCTATAATAATTGTAGTTTTTCAATTCCTTTATCTATAATAATTGTTTTCTCTTTGTCAAAAAAAATGTTTTTTGTTGCATTCTATGTATACTTTCTCTTCATCTGCGGAGTTATTATCTAAATGTGTGCTTAAATGCGTTTTACGCTTAAAGCCTCGATGGAAATTGGAGCATTTGGCAGTTATCACCATTGACAGAACTGGTGAGACCTTTAGGTTGCAAGCTTCATCCTTCCAAAGTGTTAACAAGATTTGGTACGCAATCATTTATCGGCAATTTTGGTGACATTGATGTGAATGGACTAAATTAGTTGTTTAGTCATATCTAAGTGTTGTATGTCTTAATTGAAATAAGTATTGTTTCTCTGTATCTTCAACCCAGCATTTTACTTGTCCTGAAGAGAATCCTTCCAGTGATATTCATGTCAAATCGATATTTGGAAAGATATAATGGATGTCCGTTGTTATCTAGTATGGTTAGAATGTCTGGGTTTTCCCAGGTTTCCCGGGTTCAAATCCCGGCAACGGAATGAGATGCAAAAGTGTGTATTGGTTCTAACATGGACTAGATGCTGAAAATAAATAAGAGAAGTTGTAAATATTGTGTCTGTTATCAACCATCATTGTTTCTTTTATTTTTTTACAATGAGATTGTAAATGTTTCTTTGTGCAGAGATGGGCCATTATTAGGAAGCGACAGGGGACCATGGTTGGGAATGGTTCGCAGCTTTCAGAGGCTCAGCTGGCAGCTCGTCACGCAATGTCCCATGCTCTTAATATGCCAATTGGTGCTGGCGGTAATTCTCTCAAATCCTGTATGACAAAATCATATCTGTTCCCACACTACTGTGGAGAGAAGGAAAAGGTTGGGGATAGGGGGAGGGTAGTTAATTTTGCTGTCTAGGGACTCTGCATTGGGTGTATCACATGGCTGATAGGCCCTGATAACCTAAATGTATGTTGTCGTTTATGGCATATACAATTTGTCTGCATAGAGGGTAGTTGATGATTCAACTGTTCAATGGTTTATAAGATTCTGCTGTTCAAGAGTCTTTTGAAGGTCTGAGTTCTATATCCAATTAATAATGTCTGCACGGAAATACCTGTAAAAAAACATGCATGTTAATCTCGGAGAAGTGGAGCAATATCTCTTTTAACGTCTTAGTCTATCCTTGCATGCTGCCGTTCTAACCCCAGGTTATTGTGCTGTTTCAGTGGGGCCTAATTCTGGTAGTGGACCTAGTAACTCTTCTCATCCTGTTACTGCCGACTTGGCATCTGGTGGTGCACAATCCCAGCATCAACAAGACCCATTATCTTCAAAACCTCGGATAGTCCCCCAAAAGCCAGCACCAAAGCCTACTACGAGCCCAGATTCAATGATCAAAGTTGCTGCTGTAGCTGCAGGGGCCCGCATAGCTACCTCTTCGAATTCTGCCTCACAGGTGAAGCTAGCACAACCTAAAACTCCCCTCCAAATACCTGGAGGAGGTCCTGCAGTCAAATCATCTGTCCTAGGTAGTACAAATGGCTTGCCCAGTAATGTCCACTTTATTCGTACCGGTCTGGTGTCCCATTCCGCTGGCCCACCAAAGGTTGTGCATTCTGCTGGCCCACCAAAGGTCGTGCATTCTGCTGGCCCATCAAATTCCTCACGACCTGGAACTCAGCAGGTGTTGAGCCACTCTTTGAAACCCGCTTCACCCACAGTTCAACCTAAGCCAATTGGTAATTCATCCAAACCAAATGCTATAGCTGAACGCAATGTCCCAACGTCTACTCCAGTTGCTGAGCTTAAAGTAAATACGAACCAAGAAGTTCTCCAAAAAGTTCAACAAGATCAAACACCTCCATCAGTCAACCCATTGATAAAGAAAGCCAGTGAATCTAAAGAGCACCAAAAAGAGGATCGAGATCCTGTTCATGCTAATTCTCCGGGCGTTCAGGTTCAAGAAAAGTTGATTAGTTTGCAAGGTCAGGAGATAGCCAACAATGATACTAGTGATCCCAATAAAGCATCAACTAGAACTGAAAATGGGAGTGCTAATGGAGGTGATCCCAGTAAGGAACCAGCTGAAACTGAGAATGGGAAAAATAAAATGGAGTGACTACTAGGTTGGACCAACTTTGTATGTAAAGTTAGATTCATGGTTGATTGTTCTTGTCATCTACCCTTGGTGGCTTTGCTTTCTTTTTGCCTTTTTATTGTAAATGTGTAGGTATCTTGAAATGTATTGTTTATAATTATTAGGTGACAAATTACAATTCTTTGATACTTCCTTGTCAATTGTTGAATATTTCCATGTGTAATCTTGAGATCTCTTTGCAAGTGGGTTAAAGAGATTACTACATTAACTAATTGTCTTTTGTCTATTGCCTTGGATTACCTACAAAAATGGTCATATTTAGTCCATGAGTGTTGAGGATTGACTAGTTAGACTGTGTGAGACGCAGGAATTAAAATTTCTTTTTTACTTTTTAAAAAGGCAATATGAATGGTAAGTATTCGTTCATTCTTAATTAGAAGTCTTGGGTTTGAGCCTTGAATTTGAAGTCACATTTCAAACAAGGCTCCCATCATTTCATTCTTTGTTAACAAGCAATGCAGTAACTTGAATTCTTTTGACATACGTGCTTCAAATTCTTCTTTTGATGCAAAAGGGTCTATCTGAAACAACCTATCTACCATACAAAGGTGAGAGTAAGGTTTGCATACATTCTACTTTCTTATACCCCACTTGTAGTATTGTAGTATTGCACCGGGTATGTTGTTGACTTGTTGTAGGTAAACTTGGCTTCTGAAATGAACACATCTTAGAACAATTCCATCAAAGAACTAACTAAAGGACTAGAATTCAATCTCATGATATCAAACCTTTGAACCCCTTAAACAGTAAGTCCAATTTCACTTACAAGTTCGAAACTCGAGTGTATGACTGTATGAGCATGACCTTTACCCCTTCACTCTCCACTTAAATACCAGGCAGTGACAGGGTTCAAACTCGTAACATGTGCCTGTACTGATGTGTCTGTATCACTGAACCTAATCTCGGGGGGCAACTGCAACAACAATGTAGTCTCACAAAATGGGGTCTAGGGAGGGTAGAGTGTATGCAGACCTTACCCTTACCTCAGAGGTAGAGAGGTTTCTGATAGACCCTCGGTTCAAGGAAAAACAGTCCAGAAAAAACAGTAATGAGAGTAAAAGCATAACAAAGCATTCTGAACAACAGAGACATTTATTCTTACTAATAACATTATTACTTCCCAAATATATTCAGTACAAGTAGATGAAACTGCATATTCACAATGAAATGATACTTGTAGCATCATAACCAATTATTTTTCCAGAAAACATATTTACAACTGATGAAACTATTCACAGATATTTACATCCAAAGAATATTACAAGCATACTCACAACCACTGCTTCTTAGCTTTCACTCTTTTTTCTTTTTCTTAATTTTCCTTCTATAACCATCATCCTTCACTTCTCCTTCCTCCAGACAGTTCGAATGACAAATTTACACCAATTTTCAAGAGACAAAGCAGAGGTTACTTCAAATAAGAATTCTGAATAACACAAGACACAAGGTACCAGGAGACCATAGACGATTTTTATTTTTTTACAGTTTAACTTTCAATATACTACTTAGTCCATATTTAGGCTGTAATAGGTAACAAAAAACAGCTTAGTGTTTGATCCACTAAGCAACAAAGAATCTGGAGAAAAGATATCAAATCAACTGAGCCACTGCAGCATGTCAGCTATACCGCAAAGATGAGAGCCACTGTTCTATAAACTTCTTATTCCCTGCATGTAAAATCCAAATTCAATAAGCACAAAGAACAGAACAGAACAGAAAGTTGAGAACTGAAGTGATGGAAAGAGTACTGTTATTCTACACGTTATACATTTCTTTGTGGTTTATACTTTATCTAAAACCAATGCATCGTTCAAAAGTTTTAAAATAAACTTGTTTAGAATTGGATGGGAACAAAAGGGTTGTAGTCGTAATGTTTCCAAAAGAAAGGTTACATTTCAGGAGAAAAGAGATTTCAGATTTTACGGATATGTAATGGCCAAGAACGCTGTTGCATAAAAATGAGAAGTCTCTTGATGATAAGAAGGTTAAAGTACGTATTATCTCAATGAGAAAACAGAACCCGCGCTAACCTATAACTGGCTTGTTAACGATCTCATAGATTCAACTCCAAACAAGAAATCTGAATCAAGAACACCTACCAACTGATATGGTGCTAAATACTTCTCAACTGATCAAGTTGTGTGTGACAAAGGACAGAACTAACTATTATTTTCGAGAGGGAAATAAAAAGGGACAAGATCTAAGTTGTGTAGAAACCAGGACATGATACGGGGCTACATATGAGTTACACTAATTTACAACAAGTTATTCCACAAAAAGATATCTAGGCAACAGCCACTTATCATGTAGGAGATGCTCTTTATATACGTCAATGAGAAATTCATCCTGGATGTTAATTCAGTGCTGCAGTCATGACTTAAGATTACTAGTTAATAATCATCGCCAACCCAAAAAATATATATCACCACCAACCATTGCCCTCTACTCTGTAAAAGTCAAGGGGAGAAAAGTATCTTGAACACATTCTAATTTCTCTAGATTAGAGGACCTAAAAACATTTGATCAACGAGGCCAATGAAATCATCCTAATTTAGTCACCAAATTGAATGAAAGGAGCATTTGGTAATCATAACATTCTAAGCTTGCATAAGATCTGCTAGTATAGTTTCAGCACATTAACAAAGAGGAACGAATCGAAAAGCAGGAAGGCTCAATTCAACAAATTCTGATTATGAAACAAGACTTTCTGTTCAAGTCCTTACTTGTGTGATGGATTTTAGTTATAGCAGGGAAAGTTGAAAGAACCTTTCGAAAGGTGCTAGTCCATTTGTAGATCAGGTATTTTCCACAAGCATTAATTTTGTTTCAACATCAATTTGATATTTCTCTTTGAATTACTACTTAATAGCCATTTGCCAGCATGACATAATTAACTGAGAGCCCTTTCTATAAGGAGTTTGATATAAAAAGGGCAGTTGGAAGCATCCTGCATTTGCATGGGGTCGGGGGAAGGGTTGCACCCCAAGTGAGTGCAATGTAGCCAGCCGGCACAAACCCATGACCTATTGGTCACGTAGACAACTCTACTCTTGTTCCAAGACTACCATATATAAGCAGTTTGATATATTTCAAATAAATTTGGTTTTCATCATTATATAAAAGGAGAACTGTTCAAGAAGTTGACTCTTACCAGAAGCATGTATATCCCTGAAGTTACCAATGGTCTGCATGAACTTGTCTTGAGCATTATCTTCCAAATCTGCGCACCCACGTCCATAGCAAGGAACTAGTACAGCAAAACTATCATCTCTATCATCATCACTCTGGAAACCAGGGCCATGAGGCTCCAACCATCCAACAGACCAATCCGAATCATCTGACTCAGACCCTGAAACACATCCGCCATCCGATGGAACAAGAACAATATCATACTCCCTATCAATCTTCCGCTCCTCACGACTCTCCCATTTTCTCTTAACCTTTCTAGATGAGGAGGACATATTCCTTCTCCTATCAAGAGTAAATTTCAAAGTATCCAATTCCAATAAACTCGAATCAGGTGATGAATTTACAGAAGTCCCTTTCGAGATTTTAGGTTCTTCATGCTTTCCACTCCAAAGCCACCATGACAAAGGGTTAAAGGCCAAAGCCATGTCTTAGTAAATCAAGTAAATTACTTGCCCTTTATAGAATCAAAATCCGGGATTGAGTTATTGAACAAAAATGTTGGCAGATACAATGAATCTTGGATTTTGGAGCCTGATGACAATTGAATGTACTATAAGAGTTATTTGTTCCTGTACAAAAGAAATCCAGGTAGTAAGAGGAATGAATACAATCAAAATGATACAAACACTATTGAGACAAAGCATGTTATGCTTAGTCCAAGGAAAAACATATCAAAGCAGGTCGAAAAAGAAATGATTGGAAGTGGAGAAATCATGGCAAAATAATGTAAAAAGCATGGCAAAGCATTCTGAAAAAACAACAGTAACAACAAAATAGTGCAATAATCGAAGTACAAGAGATAGTAGATAGTAACAGAAACTGAAGGACAGAAAACTACAGGAAAATACTACAACTACTAGTATAGAAGGATAAGCGAGACAACGCTCTTATTACCTACTAACATTAGCCAAGCAAGGTTTCTTTTAATGAAGTTCTTCAATTTTCAATACATCAAGAACCTAGAGTGTGCAAGCACCTTTAATCTAAAATAATAACAAAATCACAGAACATAAATAAACTGAGATCTTCTTCCATTCATTATGACCCATAATGTGGTCATCTTTCTGATATTTTACCTAAAAATACTTCAAGAAATTCAAGCTCTTCCCTTTTTTCCTCCTTTCCTTTTCTAGGTTCCCATAGCAATAAACCAGTCAAACTCTATTACTACTCCCTAGAAATAGTCATGATAGAAAATTAGAACCAAATATTTAGAGCCTAACAATTAGATTAACTTTTTATTGAAATTTAACACAATTTAGCTCAATTTCCAGTAACTATACAAACAAGGTATTCCACAAAATAAGACTAAACCTTCAACTTCAACCAGTCAAACAAAAACCACCAAACATAAAGCAAGCACCCAAAAAAAAAGACCACCAGGAAATCAAGAATCCCAGTACTAATTCTCAAGAAAGAAGAAGAAAACAAAACATGCCTTTGCAAATTAGCTCTACAAAGCTCTTCATCAATACAACAAAAAAAAAAGCAACTTTTTCAAAAACTCAGTACAAACATAGCTTTACAATTAGCTAAAAACCTTCATAAATAAATAAAAAAATCAAATCTTTATGAATCTAACATAAAAAGAAATCATCTTTTTCAGATTTCCAATATGGGTATCTCATAAATAACCTTAAATTCCCCTTCCCTATCAAACTTCATAAAAATTGATCCAAAAATTTCAGTTGCAGATAACAAAAAAAACCCAGAATTCATAATATATATACCTTGAAAACTCAAAATTTAGTGGATCAGAGCACTTCTAATTCAAAAGGGGTTGTTTATTTTTCCAAATCTGACGATATTATTGAAGAAAAAAGAAAAAGAAAAAAAAGATAGAATTTTTTTTATATACGAAGCTTTGTGATAGTTTCCTTCAAGAATTCAATCACCAAATCAGAAGCAGAGTCAAAATAAAACACAGCTTATTTCTGAATTTTTATTAAAAAGAAATTTTCGTCTGCTTTAAGGTTCAGGTGAATAAGGGCAAAAATGTCTTTTACATGTCGTTCGATA